AGAGGCAGAGGCAGGCAGATCTCTGAGTTCCAGGCCAGTCTGGTCTACAGAATGAGTTTCAGAACAGCCAGGACTACACAGAGAAACTCGGTCTCAAAAACAAACAAACAACAACAAAACCAGAGTATGATGACAAATGCCTTTAATCTCCAAACAAGAAACAAAACCAAAAACACAGAAAGGGGGAAAAGAAAGTGAGGAAGAGAGAGAGAAGGGTGGCCTTCTACTCTTTAAAAGAAGGCAGAAAAAACATCACTGAACAATTAGCAAGCTAGGGTACAAACTACAACCTTGAGGGGCAGTGAGGGTGTGTGCTTGTGTGTGGAAGCCAGGGTCCACCTTGTTTCTTGAGACAGTTTCTCTCACAGAACCTGCAGCTCATTCATTAGGGTAAAATGGCCAGCCAGTGAACCCCAGGAATCTCCTCTTCTCCAGCGACTGGATTATAGGCATACACCCATACCCAGGTTTTTCATGAGTTCTGATGGCTGATCTCAGGTCATCAGCCTTGCTCAGCGAACACCTCCTCAGCACTGACAACTGAACTGTTCTAACCTACCCCCAGATTCCTAAGCAGGCCTCCTAGGCGACAGCACTCTAGCATGCATGGGTATTTGGAGCTAAGGACGTTGGAGAGATAATTAAGTAAAGATTAGTTCTCCGTGGTGGGCCTAGTGGGACTTGCACCTCTGAGACTCAAACACCAAGAAGCAATGGAAACTGTCACACAGCAGTGCCACACGAGTGCAAAGAGAAGATGCTGCCTAGAACCTGAAGCAACCTTCATCATGACTCCAACCTCATGAACTTGAGAACATCACTTTGTGCTGTTTGAGCGGTCCTGCCTGTTGCACTTTGTCACAGCCTTGGAAAATGGTTACTGGAAAGGTTTTTCAGCAAAGCCATCCTCTGGCTGTGTATGAAGATGACATCCCCACTCTCTGATGACTGGATTGTTTGAGATACTCGGGCATAAAGGACCCAGTGTCTGTGCCTACTTTTCCATGAGTCAGCAACAGTAAAACTAGAAAATGCAAGTATGGAAGATAAAGAAAAAAAGCCAGTAATCGGTGAGAGTTGGATAATGAAAGCTCATCGCAGTAAACATTTTCAGGCTCCCTCTCCGGCAAGGATGGCAGCTTCACTTCCCACAGGGGAGCAAAGCCTCTGGCCTGAGGCAACACAGTGAGGAGGGAACAGAGCTGATAAGGGTTCGGTGGGCCAGCAGGCCTCTTTCTAAAAAAAAAGGCTGACAGGATAAGGGGGAGGTCCATTAAAGTACAGGGTGCTGGGTACTGACCCCCAAAAGAGCAGCATGGTCCCACCCTGCAGCTGCCCTCAGGGATCCACTAAACCACACCCCCGTGTCTAAGAGCTGGAGAGTAAGGACGGAGGCAAAGAACCCACCTCTCCCGCCCTGTGAGACCTGAGTGAGACTTTTAAGATTCAGCACCTGCAAGCGCAGGAGCAAGCAATCGGGGCGCCTCACCCTCAGGGGCCGGCGAGAGGCGGGGCCTCGGAGGGGCAGTGAGGCTGCGCACTCACTTGAAGGCCTGGCAGCTCCAGGTGCCCGTTACTCATCATTTTCCCGGAGCTCCCGGTATTCCTCCGCCTCCCAGGGAGTCGCTGGTCCCTTGGGGTCCGAAGGTGGCGCTGCTGAGCCTTCTACAGAAGGTTCCCATAGCCACCACTCACAGATCCTGGCACTAGCCAACCACAGCCCCTTCCCCGCACTCCACGCCCCTTGCTGACATGTGCACCTTCCCCCAAATTCCAGACACTGCCCACCTCCTTCCAGTCTTACTTCCCTACGTCTCTTATGCCCTGTTGCATCCCCCCACCCTGTTCCCACACCTCCAGGTTTCCCTGCCCACCACTGACCCTACCTCAGGAGCTCTGCTAACAGCTCCAAGTTTTGAAGAGTGACCTCCAAGAACCCTCACAACTGCCCTTGGAAGCCAGGATGCAACCCAACCATCACCAAAGGTGGGGAAAGTGAGCCTCGAATACACGAGTCACAAAGCCAGGACCACGGAGTCTGCTTCTAAACCCAGGGGGCCTGCCCTGAAAAACCCCAAAGTGGCCAGCCAGCAGGACACCTGTCCGTCCGATCTTCACCTCCTAGCTCCAGCCAGGACTACACAGGAAGGCCCTGTTTTGTTTTTAAAGAAAGAAAAAACCCGTGCCAGCCTGGAAGAGCTCCAAACCTATGCCCTTTCCTTTTCACTGACTCCCAAGAGCTCCCAGCAGAGTGGCTCAGGCCCTGTTCTGTACTTCCTGAAGCTGTGTGGAGCAGTGAACGGCTCTGTAGAGGATGCCTCAGGAAGGGTTGGAAGGAAGGGGCTTCCCTTGGAGCGAGGAGGTAGCCCTGACTAGACTGGAACTTACTACGAAGAACAAGCGGGCCTCGGCCTCAGAGCTTCGCCTGCCTTTGCTTCCCATGTGCTGGGACTGAAGGCGCACAACACCACACGTGTCTGCTGTTTGTTCATCTTTAAAGACTTCATGTTGAGATAGTGACATGTAGCCCAGGCTAGTTTCAAAGTCTCTGTGTAGCTGAGTATGACCAAGGGTTGGGATTATAGGCACGAAACAATATTCCTGTTTTATGCAAAGCCAGAGATTGCATCATGCAGGCTAGGCAAGAACTCCTCCAACTGAGCTATATCCCCAGTCCTTCAAAACATATTCCTTCCTTCCGTATTCTTCCTTTTCTTATTTATTTATTTATTTAGGTTTTTTGAGGCAGGGTCTTTCAGTGTAGCTTCGGCTGTCCTGGAACTTTTACTCTGTAGACCAGGCTGGCCTAGACCTCACAGAGATTGCCTGCCTCTGCTACCTAAGGTTCTGGGATTAAAAGCGTGCACCACCACTGCCCAGCTCAAGCACACATTTTTAAAATGCTCACAAGGGCGTGGCCACCCAGATGTCATGCTCTGTGCATTTGTCTAGCTCCACAGGGAGATCAGCACCCATCCCACCTCCCATGCCAAGCGGAAGCCTGAGACTCATCTTTGTGCTAGAAGAGGGAAAACCCTTACTTTCCTGGAGGCTGGCTCCCAGGAGCAGTCTCACTTCCAAGAACACCACTCAGAGTAGCTACAGTCTCTCCACCCAGCACCTAGGTCAAATTCCCAGCTGCCGCACTGCAAGTAGGACTTGTGTTAAACAAGAATCGGCTCCACCTACCACAGCCCAGGGAGTGGGTATCATCTGCCACGCTGGCTTTAAGGAGGGGGAAGAGAGACAACTTCTTTGTATCAGATGTCCCTCCCTGTGTCTCCAAACGGAGACTGTCTCCAAATGCTCTTGACCTTCTGACTCTTTCCTTGGAGGTGCCAGAGGGCCCCAAGTACCCAGGGGCTATGGTGCAAGGCACAGCTAGGCAGGGAAATTAAGAACCACCTCGGAGCCTGTGAGAGTTGTACACGCAAGTCCCTGGGTTCACGCAGCAGTTCCCAAGGAGCTGAAGCATTCTCCAGTGGGGTCCAGGCTTGGATACTTTATGCCTTTTTGATCAAAGCCAAAAGGCTTGCTTGAAGACATCCTGAGTTTTCTCTTTGTCCCAGTCTAAGGGGAATATGGCAACCTCAGAGAAAATTGTTCTGGATAAAAGCCAAGGCATGGCAGGCATGCTCTCTCTGCTTTACAACAGTCTTGCAGAAAAGTCTCCCCTCAGCCCCTCCCCCAGCCCATAAACTGGAGCACCAGCTGCAACAGCAGCAGCAAAGACCCACCGCGGCCCTGCTGACCCGATGCAAACCCTGCAGCTGGGAAAGCTCTGCCCCTGCCCAGCTCCGCCTCCCCGCCGTGTAACTCCAAGGGAAGCACCGGTTACTTCCCTAAACCTCGGCAGCTACAACTGCGTCCACTTCGTGGGATTAGACGGGAGAGTTCTAGGAGGGAATGCTTAGCCCAGTGCCTGCCAGACTTAAGTGTCGAGTAAGAAGCGCTTTGCTCCAGAGGAAACTAGTAATTAAGGAGTCCCTAAAAGTCCCATGTGGGCCATTACGCATGCACTTATCCATCTCATAAGTGTTTATGGACATCTTTGACAACTAACTACCCTCGCAACATCTTGGGGGTGGAAGGTGTGTATGGTAGAGACAGTCCTCCAGACCAAAGGAGTCATCCCAGAGGTAGTCCCAGGCCTCACACCCTTGGAGCGGCCTCTGAACGTCAATGGTACCCATCCTGGAGACCAGTGGCTGCAGGCCAACTGGTACGGACAGTCGGCACCGGGACTGATATTCACCCTCGCCAAGGCGGTCAGCTTTTGTCCGTGAGGAATAAATATGCACGTCTGAGCCCCGGAGCCCGAACGGCCTCGCGCTGGCAACCAAGCGACGTGTGCGGCCTGCTCAGGAGCCAGGGCCGTGGGGGTTCGGAGCGGACACAGGAGCAGGTCGATGGGAGGGCGGGCGGCGTGGACCTCTCCCCAGCGCCCGGCCGCCCCAGAGAGCCAGGCCTCCCCTGCTCGCAGCAACGGCACCATAGTCCCTGCTTCAGCGGCCCAGCCCCGGCAGCAGACAGCAGCCGTCCGGAACTCACCTGCCGTCGCAACCGCGCCGCCTGTCAGTCAAGCGCGCCCACCGCGGCTCGGCGCAGAGTCCTGTAGCTCTGCCTGCCGTGCCCCGCCTCCTCGCCGTCAGACGTCCAATCGGGAGAACGTATGCCAGGGCCGGAGGCGGTGTCACAGGTCGCTGCCTACTAGGGGGCGGTACCGTGCGTGCCGGGGGCGTGGCCGTGCGCACGGTGAGAGCCCATGCATGCCGGGAGTAGGGGGTGTGGCTGTGCCGCTGGGGCGTCGCAGTGTGATTCGAAGGCTGTCAAGCTGGTGGTGGGCGTGGTCACATCGCTGGGGCGTGGCCGAGGGTGTGGCCACGCGGCCGGACGTGCGCTTGCCTCTCGAAGTTGGGAGCGAATGGCTGTGCTGCTGAGGCGCAGCCATACAGCTCTGGGGCGTGGCCTGGCAAGCCGGAGGCGGGTCTGCTTGTAGCCGCCTTTGACGACATTTCTGCGCGCCGGAAAAGAAAGAGGTTCCGTGTACTTCTTGGCTGTTAGCGCAGCTTCGAGGGTCGGGCTCCGCTATGCGGATCACCGGGAAGACTTTCCGCCGGCGCCGGGCTGACTCGGAGTCAGAGGAGGATGAACAAGAATCAGAGGAGGTTCGGTATGTGTAGGATAGGGTCTTCACAGGCCAGGAAGAGGGAGACGAACTTGGGACTAGCTACCGGCCGGCACCGCGCTAACACCTTTAACCGGGAGCCGGGGTTGTTGTCTTTCGGAAGCTCCTGGGGGCCGCGCGGAAGGAGGAGGTGCCCCGGGGTCTCATGGGTCTGACTGCCAGCGGCCCACCATGCCAGGGACTCGGCAATGGGACGTATCCTCGGAACTGCGTTTGGCTTTTCAGTTCAGTACAGGGTCTCAAACTGCATCATTGCTTTCTATCCCCTCCAGGTTAAAACTGGAAGAAACCCGAGAGGTGCAAAACTTGAGGAAGAGGCCAAACGGGGTGAGGTGGGTACCACGGGGGTGGGAGAGGCGTCATTGATGACAAAGACACTTCCCAGCTAGGGTCGCAGTCACAAATCTCTCCGTTGACATAGTTCCCTCTCTTGACATATACCTTCCACTGATCGTGGATGGGACTAACGTTCTTTACAGATGTTTAGTTGCCACATGCCCTGAGCCTGGTGGTCCCTGAGTCTGCTCCAGGTCACTAACTCGAATTTTTAATTGCACCCATGGATTATAATTGGCATCGTGTTGACAGATAAAGAGTTGGGAAAACTCAGATAAGTATAATCAAGAAATAAACAAGAGCCTGGTTTGGTTGTTGTTGCATTCCTGTAATCCTAGCACTGGGAGTTTGAGGGCAGACTGGACTGCATAACAAGGTGTGTGTGTGTGTATAATCCAAGGAAGAGATAGACAACAGTCATAATCTTTTCATGAAGGGGTAGCCATTGTTAGCATTTAATGTTCTTTCCTACCTGTTTCTTTTATCTACTTTTATCGCGTGGTTTTAAAAAAAAAAAGACAACAAAACATGATATTGGGAGCCATATTGTGTGTTTTCCAGAAGAACTTTTTAGAAGGCTGCATAATGTGCACCCCTTGGGTATGCATTATAATTTCTAAACAGATCTTCTAGGTGTGTGTCGATAGGCTCACAACTATAGTTCCAGACTTGAGAAACTGGAACAGTGGGGTTACTGTGAGTTTGATGCCAACCAGAGCTGCAGAGTGAAACATTGTTTCCATAGTAACAGAGCCAGTCTCCATGGTACAGGCCCATGATGCCATCTACTTGGGAGGCTAAAGTAGGAAGATCATAAGTTAAAGGCTTGCCTGAGCAACCTAATAAAATAAAACAAAGACATTGGGGATAACTCGGTAATAGTGTGCTTGATCACTGTGTGTGAGGCCTCGACTCCTGTTTATATCGGTCACTTTTGTAAATTTTCACCACCAGCTAAAGCTGCAGCGCATATTCTCTGGCATCAAACTCTTGTCTTCTGTTCAGTTTCCGTGGCTGGATTTCTAGGATAGCAGATGGCTATGTGGCATCGTGCACCAGCTGCCTCATTTGCCCTCACCTTCCATGGTGTGCTGAGCACTGGCGTCTTTGGCTTTTGCAGCTATTTTTCCCACCTACCCACAGTCATGTTCTTCCACCAGCATTCTAGCCTGCAAACTTGATGGTCCCAGTTTGCTTCCTGTTGCTGTGACCATGACCAAAAACAGCTTGTCCACATCCTAATCATACTCAGTTATTGGGGGAATCATGGCAGGAACTGGAGGCAGAAACTGAAGCAGAGACCATGAAGGAACACTGCTTATTGGCTTGCTCTCCAAGATCACATTCAGCTACCTTACACAGCACAGGACTACCTAACCCCTCCCACATCAATCCTTAATCAAGGAAACGCTCTACAGGCTTGCCTACAGGCCAACATGATGCCAGATAACTCCAGCTTATGTCAAATGGACAAAAACTAGCCAGCACATTGATTTCTTTATCTCTGTGTTATTTCATATGTTTTGGTTTGGTTTCTTTTGCTCAGTGCTGCTGCCCTGTTGGTGGGAGAGAAGGTTCAAGAAGAGACTACTCTTGTGGTGAGTGTTGGCTCTGTGACTGTTCTCCTCAGGGTGTCTGCTTAAGGTATAACCATAGTGCCAGGGAGATAGCTCAGAGTGCTTGGACAAAGGATCCAAGTTTGGATGCCTGTCAGCCACATGAAAGCCTAAGAGTGGTAGATATGCCTATAATCCAAGCACTGGGGAGGCAGAGCAGAACAATGTAGCCGAATGAACAAGCTGAAAGACTCTCATTCAAAGTATAAGCCAAAGGGTTGTGGGAATTGGTGTGTGTGTATGTATATGTATACATACACATATATATGTGTTTGGGTTCTTACAGCTACTAACTTTCACCCTAGTTCCTTCCAACCTCTAACAGTAGGTAGGTGAGAAAGAAGGTTAGAGGGGAAAGAGGGTATAGACCTCTTTAAACTACTTCCTGCTGCTCTGATCAGAGTCGTTGGGTTCCTTGGGGTAAGTCCAATCTTCATTGTCAGGATATCTCCAACTTCTTGTCAAACCACAGCAGTAGGGGGAGCAGTAGCCCCCACTGCCACATCCACCTCCTCCTTTTTCTTCTTCAGAGCATGCACCCACACCTCTGCCCCCTCTCTGAGCTCTGCCATTTATATCTTCTCAAGAGTCCCCAGAATTCCAAATGTAAACTCTCTGCAGCTGGCTAAAATCACACCCCTGCTAGTGCACAAGGCAAATCATAATCACCTGCTATGAAGCACTCTCTTATCACAGACCTGTTTTAAAACAAAAACATATTCACATAACATAACTGGGTTTTTAAAGAAACCAAAACTCTTACTACAGGAAATGTATCTGGGGGTAAAGTGCTGAAGTTCTCGCTGAGTCAAGCCCCTAGCACTCACACAAAAGTCACATGTGATGGCACACATCTATAACCCGGGCAGGGGCTAGGGTGGAGACAGATGGATCTATAGAGCTGGCTGGCCAGCCAGTCTACCCAAATCTCTGAAATTTAAGGTGGAAAATGATTGAGGCAGATGCCTGACTTTGGCCTCTTGCCTCCACAACCACACATTTGAACACACAAGCTTGTATACCCTGTACACACACAAAGCCAACGCACACACAGGTACATAGGCATACAGAGAAGTAAGGGGAAAAGGTGGAGAAGGATCGAGGAGGACACACAGCACTAACCTCTGGCCTTCACATGTCTGCTCCTATGTGTGCACCTGCACGCTCACATGTGGTCACACTAACTCAGCTGTCTGCTTTCTGCAGGATGACCCTTTCCAGATGACCACAGGTGGCATGGTGGACATGAAGAAGCTGAAGGAGCGGGGCAAAGATAAGTAAGTGGATGAAGCTGGGTGCAAACTCACTGTCACCTGACAGTGTCTGGGCCACCTGCGCACAGCTTATAGCTTTGCCAAGGGTGTGCTGATTAGAAACAACGCCCAAGGGTTCCCCCTCAGAGCCAAGAGAGTGGAGTCCTTTTGTAAAAGGACCTTGTTCATTATTTCCAACATGTGGGGAAACTTTGAATGAAAACGTAGTCAGAAAAGTAATACACTGAATACCGGGATCCATGACACTAACCTAAGAGCCAAGTATAGCAGCCTGTGTCTCTAACCCCAGCATTGGGGGTGTACACAGTGAATCCAGGAGACTTGGTAGCCAACCCATCTAGTCAAAATAATGAGTTCTGGACTAGTAAGAGCTCCTCCCAAAGGGGAGAAATGATAAAGGGCCGCACCAACACAGCCTCTGACCTCCACATGTGCCTGCAGGCTCACACATGCACACACAGGAACTTAACTACTAGAAAAGTTTGCATAAGAAAGCATGTGCTCATTCCCCACATTACCAGCTGATGCTTCCGCGTCGCTTGCGTGTGTCAGTTTTTCTCTTTACATACCTTACCATGTCAAATGTTTTCATGTACTTCCTGTTGTGTTCTGAGTTGTTGTGGTGTACTTGGCCTCAGTGAGTGTGACCTTCCTCCTCTCAGGGTCAGTGAAGAGGAGGATCTGCACCTGGGGACATCGTTTTCTGCGGAGACCAACAGGCGGGATGAGGATGCAGACATGTAGGTACAGTGAGTCTAGCTGTCTGTAAGCACTGAGGTGAGCCCCAGCCACACAGCCAAAAATGCCTAGTCACGGATGTTGCTTCTCAGGTTTTCTTGGCTGTGTCCTCCCCTCTTCTCAGGCTTGAGATTTTTGAAAGCCTCTAAAAACTCCTTTCAAAGGCTAGATCTTCGCATTTATATTTTCTTCTCTCCCATCTCCTCCCTCCCTCCTTACTTCCTGTGGTAGGAAAAATGCTAGCTACATCCTCAGCCCATGGCTTTCTTGACTAGTGATAATTTCCTCAAAACAGAAGGATTATTACAGAGTTGCCACTTCTCTTCTATCAAGGCCTTTAAAACATGGTATCAAGCTGGGCATGTTGCTGCACGCCTGTAATCCCAGCACTCAGGAGGCAGAGGCAGGCAGGTCTCTGTGAGTTCGAGCCCAGCCTGGTCTACAAAGTGAGTCCAGGACAGCCAAGGTTACAGGCTGAGAAACCATGTCTCGAAAACCAAAACAACAACAACATTCCCGCTTTTTCTTTATCTTGGGAAATCTGAGTTTACGCTGCTTGTGGGGGGGGGGGGGGGACACAACCGAGAAACATAATGGCACCTTTCTGTGTTCAGAGAACCTTGAATATGGTCATAGCAGGACACTAGTAGTCACGGTGACCAGTACACGTTGGTGTTTTGAGTTGAAATTTTCAAAACTCAAATGCCTGTAATTCTAACCCAAAGAAAACTAAGGCAGGAGGATCTCAGATTTGAGACCTGCTGGGTCAGCAATGAGAGACTGTCTCCACAATCTACCGGTGTTTTTATTGTTCTTCATTTTCTGTAACTGACACGTATTTAATATCAGCACTCGACAGAGGCTGTCAGTTCTTGGTGAGAGGCCATCTGGTCTAGATAAAGAGTTCAAGGCTAGCCAGGGTCCTTTGGTTGTCCTGGCTTCACATGTGTTGTGGTCCACATGTTCTCACACATACATAAATAACAAAATACAATGTAAAAAGCTCTTTATTAAAAATGTTAACTAGCAGTTGCCTGTTGTGGCCATTCCACCTCCTCCCATCCCCGAACCTGTCGTCCCTTCTCAGGATGAAGTACATTGAGACAGAGCTAAAGAAGAGGAAGGGGATCGTGGAGCAAGAGGAACAGAAGGCCAAGCCCAAGAACGCCGAGGACTGCCTCTATGAGCTGCCAGAGAACATCCGCGTCTCCTCTGCCAAGAAGACTGAGGAGATGCTGTCCAACCAGATGCTGAGCGGCATCCCTGAGGTGGACCTGGGCATAGAGTACGTCCCCCAACTCTAGCTGTGCCCCTGCCCTTGGGAAGAGCCACCCCCTTTCCAGTCAGTTACAGACAAGCCACAGAGCACTTGCCCAGCATTCCCAAGGCCCTGCATCTGGGAAGTTGGCTCAGTTAGGAAAGTACTTGCTGCACAAGCACGAGGACTTCAGACTGATCCCCAGCACCCATATCAGAAAAGCTAGGTGTATTGGGGCACACTGGCAGCTGGAGGTTAGAGAGCCACTGGGACTCACCATCCAGCCAACCCAGCCACTGCAGGACCCCGCCTCAAAGAAACAGGGTGTGTGGCTCCCGAGGAACGGTAGCTGAGGTTGTCCTCTGGCCTTCGCATGCACGCTCACATGTGTGCACACACGTGCTCACAAAGGTTAGGGAGATCCTTCTCGCCATCCTTAGAAACATTCAGACAAGTTGCCTTGGGTTTCTTGTCACACCTGTTCCCTATGGCTGAAGAGACTTACGAGCCCCGGCCTCTGGAGACAGAAGTGTCTCCCTAACCTTCACAGCCACTCCTTTCTAGTGAGATGCTCTGCTCCTCTGTTTAACTTCATCAAGTGCTGTGTAGAAGGCTGGCCCACCCCTCCTCCGTGAGCCCCTTTCACCTACAGGGATACAATATCAGTGGTCGGCAGCAGCATTGCTTATAGTGAGATGTTAGCTTGGGGATTCTGGGCTCCTTCCAGCCTGGCAAGCTTTGAACCTTAAGCAGCCTACTTCATTTTCATGGGGTACAATTTCTCTCTTTTTCGTTATTTTTTAATTTTTAAAAATTCACTTACTTTTATTTATGTGCATTGGTGTTTTGCCTGTATGTATGAAGGTGTCAGATCTTGGAGTTATAGACAGTTGTAAACTGCCATGTGGGTGATGAGACTTGAACCTGGTCCTCTGGAAGAGCAGTCAGTGTTCTTAACCACTGAGCCGTCTTCCATGGGGCATGATTTCTTATATGTGTGCACATGTGCATTTCTGGGGATTTGAACCAGGGCCTTGTACATGCTAGGTAAGTAAGTGCTCTGCTACTGAGCTGTATGCCCATCTGTAGATTTCCTTTTTAGTTTTTGTTTGTTGAAACAGGCTTTCACTTTGTAGCCCTATCTGTCCTGGAACTTGCTCTGTAGATCAGGATGGCTTTAAACTTAGAGATCCACCTGCCTCTGCCTTCTGAGTGCTGGGATTAAAGTTGTGCACCACCAGTGCAGGGGGTGGGGAGGGAGGCCCTCCAAGATTTCCTCTTTACCATGAGAGCACACATCTGTTCTTTCTCCTATGGCTGAGTGTTCTGTGGGGATGTGATCACAGGGTCAGGCCAGGCATGGTGGCACACACTGATATCTGAACCCTGGGGAGACTGAGGCAAGAGAAGATGGATTTTTTTGTTCCAGTCCAGCTGGGACTGAGGAGAAACTTTGTCTTAAAAACAAAAAGGAAGCTTGGTGTGGTGGTGCACACCTTTAATCCCAGCGCTAGGGAGGGGGAGGCAGGGGATCTCTTGAGTTAGAGGCTAGCCTGATCTACAGAACAGGTTCAGGACAGCCAGGGCACACACAAACCTATCTGGAAAAACAAAAAGGAAAGGATAGGCATGAAGCAGGCTGGTACGCTGCAGAACTCTGCTCCGAGACAAGCTGCTTGCTCAGTGGGACTGGCTAGCCTCACAGGTCAGTTCCACGGCTGTGATGACCTTGTGTGAGGTGTGGCTCTTTCTCTTTCCATAGTGCCAAGATAAAAAACATCATTTCCACGGAGGATGCCAAGGCCCGGCTGCTGGCAGAGCAGCAGAACAAGAAGAAGGATAGCGAGACATCTTTCGTGCCCACCAATATGGCTGTGAACTATGTGCAGCACAACCGCTGTGAGCGCCCTGCCTGTCCCCACACTCCATGAAGTCCCCCGAGAACCCCTCCTGCCTCATAGTCCCTTGTTCTTTCTCTGTCAGTTTACCACGAGGAGCTCAATGCACCCATCCGAAGAAACAAAGAAGAGCCCAAAGCCCGGCCCTTGAGAGTGGGTGACACAGAGAAGCCAGAGCCTGAACGTGAGTATAGTCCTGGGTGGCACTCGGGTGGCCCGTGAAGGCAGAGTCATGCTGGGCAGGGCCATGTTCAGACCCTGGGGACCAAGGCTCTGACCTAGACCCCTGCCAAGGACCATGGCCATGTGCCTTTCCCTTTCCAAGCTGTGATTCCTCCTTGGTAAAAACGAGGAGAGGTGTAGAGGCAGCCCATTGGTTGCTATGAGGTCCCCAGCTGGAAGCCAGAAGAGACTGAGTTTGAAAGTAAGAGCCATGTAGCAAGACCCGTCTGAGCCCTCCGTGGCCCCTGCTGGGACTGCTGTCGGCTCTGACTCCAGCCACATCCTTGTCTTGGAACAGTAGTCTGTGCTGTTCCACCATGGCACCCTCTGTTCTCCTCAGGGTCCCCTCCCAACCGCAAGCGTCCTGCTAACGAGAAGGCCACAGATGACTACCACTACGAGAAGTTCAAGAAGATGAACAGGCGCTACTGAGGCAGCGGTAGGGGCTGAGCAGACAGGAGGGGCGGTTATTGCACTCGCACATGCACTCCCGCTGGGCCCCGGCAGACAGGGCCCTGCAGAGAACCTGCTTTTTACCTGTTGGGGTCCCCATCAGACAGTGCTTCTGTTTAGCTGCTGGATTTCTGTTCTGGTTTTGTTTGGGGACTATGTCTCCCTGTATATGCCAAGCTGGCCCTGAACTCCCACCTCCCAGTACTGCTGGGATTTTAGACCCACCCCCACCCCTGCCTGGCATTTCAAGCACTGACTTTGTAACTTCCAAAACAAAACATGTGAATAGGTCTGTGTTGTTTCCTACCTGAGGCAAACTATTTGAAAGCATGCTATTAAATTGTTTGTAAATATGTTGCTTTCTCTTAATGTTTGTCCAGGCTCAGGAAGAACTAGCTGTGTTCACTGTGGGTTAGTATGCTAATATTGGGGGTGTGTTTTCTTTTTAAGATTTATTTTTGGATATGGGTATTTTCCCTTCATATAGGTCTGTGTACCATACAATGCCCATAGAGGCCAGAGGAGGGTGTGACCTATCCTGGAACTGGAATTTCTGATGGCTGTAAGACATCATGTAAGACATCATGTGTGTGCTAGGAATCTAACCCAGGTTCTCTGAAGAGCAGCCTATGCTCCTAAGGCCTGAGCCATTTCTCCAGCCTGTTTACCTTGTGTTCTTTGGTTGTATGCATAGCCATGGCTTTCTTCACTATTTGAAATAATGTTGAAAAATACATTTGTCCTTGACAGGTGTAAAGATACATTATAATTTGGAGTCTTTTTAAATCACGTGCTCTAGATCCCAAATCATGACAAAGAGACATACTAGATATACTCAACACGCTTTAAGGCACTAGAGCTGGGCAGATAGTTATCTATTTTAGCCCTCCTTGCTAGTCTGGCTACTTCTCAGCCACGTGCTGTTAATTTCTTGCCATATTGGTCCTACCAGGGCTGCTGCTGTTCCATCAGGTCTGTCCGCATGGCCCAGTGCTGGAGCTCGCCAGCAGAGTCAAACAGTTCTTAACTGGGGAGTGAGGACTGAAAAAATAAAACCACTACAGTACACATGGATCTGTCCAAGAGGACTGTCAGTAGAAACTGTCACACCAGTTTATTCCACAATTCCTTTTTATAGTCACCTTTATACAATGAAGGGTTCATCGAGAAGTCAGACTTGTTTACCTGGACCACTTGTCTGTGTGATCCTCACACAAAAGGAAATGAACTTGGCAAAACATCCTGCTTCTCCCTGTCTCCAGGTGAAGGCCAGAGTGAAAACAAGCAGCTCTCCACAGCCCAGTTCTTCTAACTGTCTTTGTTCTGCTCCCTCCACTTGAGACCCCAAAGACTGGGAAAGGAAGTCCAGCCTCCCTGTCCTCTCTGCCCAATCATTGGCTCTCAGCTTCTTTATTTACCACTCAGATGATTGGGGAGCAATGTTTACACATCATTGATACGGTATATTTTTCATAGAAATGACAATGCTCATGTCCAGACTGTAACCAGACTCTGGGGCATAGAAATCAGCATCTGAAGCCACGCACAGTGGCACAGTAATCCCAGCACTCAGGGAGGCAGGGGCAGGCATCTGTGAGTTTGAGGCCAGCCTGGTCTACAAAGTGAGTCCAGAACAGCCAAGACTACACAGAGAAACCTTGTCTGGAGCAGGGGGAAGGAGGAATCAGCATCTGAATATACTGTGTACCAGAGCAGCCCCCAACAGCCGGTTGTGGTGCACACCTTTAATCCCAGCATCAGGTGGCAGAGGCAGGCAGATCTTCATGAGTTTGAGGCCAGCCTGGTCTACATAGTGAGTTTCAGGACAGTCAGGAGAGAGAAAAAGAAAAAAAAAAAAAATGGAAGAAAGAAAAAGAATGAAGAAAAGAAAAATACATCTGACCTGGTTTGAAGAGTCCATTTCACAGCAGAAAAATGGAGGATGGGTTCAGAGACACTGGCATTCCCTGACTCTTCCAGAGCTTCAAAGTTCTTTTTATTAAGAAGGAAGAACAAGCAGGCACATCTCTTGAATTCAAAGCTAGCCTGGTCTACAGAGTGAGTTCAAGGACAGCCAGGGCTACACAAAGAAACTGTCTTGAAAAATCAAAAGGAAAAGGAAAAGCCTGGTCGGTGGCACACGCCTTTAATCCCAGCACACAGGGAGAACTGTTGTTTTTTAACAAAATCTCAGTCGTTCAAGTTTACCAATAAAGACTCTGGAGCCAGATGCTGGGGTGAAAGCCTGCTAGCTCAGAGAGGCTGAAAAAGCAGCCAGCTGACCTTCCTCTTCAGCCAATGTCCAAAAGGAAAAAGAAGCCTCTTTCCCCATGCCATGTCCAAAAAAGAAAAAATGAACTGAATGTCCCTCCCTTCTATTTCCTTTGCATTTCTATATCCATCCTTCTGACTTCCTTTTACTCTATTTTTTTTCCTATGTTTACTCCCCGTCTACTGCTTGCTTGCTGTACCCCTTGACCTGTGGTTGACTTTATTTTATCCTGTTTACAAGATTCAAACAGAAAACTCTTGAATTAAAGCTGAACTAGAAACAGATTTTTCCAGTAAACAATCGCAGTGTTCACAGTATGAACAAATATCTCAGTTTCCTCCTTTTTGTCAAAAAGGAAAGATTTTTGTTCTAACACAGTAAAACTATTTACAGTAATGAAGCTCATTCTGCCAAGCTTTTCACAATGTGGAGCTTGGTTGTATTTGGTAGTTTTAGGATTAAGTATTTTTGATTTCAACATTCTGTAAAATGTTTGTATCAGTCTCCTTTGAATTTAGCAATCTGAATGAGCTGAGCAGTTTGTAGTCTGAAGCTGATACTTAGTGGTGGTTGTCATCTTAGTGATAATCCTAGCTGTTAACAAGATTTGACTGTCAACCCAAAGGTATCCACTGTTTGCCCAGAACCTGGTGGGAGAAGAGGCACAAGGCAGTTTTGTCCTGTGGTTAATGTTTCCACAATCCAGATGGGTTTATCACTGGGGTCATCATCTTGAAGACCTCAAAGTTTACTATTAGGACTGGTAGAAAACTTAAAGCATTTTAAATGCTGTATTCAGCAGATCTCCAAAAGGTTTGAGGACCACAGTCTATTACATGCATCTGAGGTACACAAACTTTGTCTTACTTAACCTGCTTCAGACTCAAACCTGAAAACATGAACAGGAAGTAGTTGAAGCTTATTTCTAGAAATAGTTAGTACTCTGTACAACTACTAGTATCATGACAGTTTTTATAAACATAATAATCTTTTAAGATTTGAGATATTTATACCTTAAGAAAAGTTTTAAAGAATCAAATAAAAACCAAAAGATTATGAGATTAGTGGCTATAGAATAGTTCCTTATTTTTTGTTTTCCTCTGTCCCATACCAGGTAGCATTGAGGTAGCAGGCTTTCACTCCTGCATCTGGCTCCTGAATCTGTATTGGTAAAATAGAATGATTGAGATTATGTTTAAAAAGAAACAAACAAGTTTTTGTTTGTGTGTTTGTTTGTTGTTTAGGTTGTTTCAAATATCTACTTTATTTCATAGATTTCCATTTTTTTCCATTTTTTTTAACTTTTATTAATTACACTTTATTCATTTTGTATCCCCCCATAAGCCCCTCCCTCCTCCCCTCCCGGTCTCACCCTCCCTCCCTCTCTGCATGCATGCCCCTCCCCAAGTCCACTGATAGGGGAGGTCCTCCTCTCCTTTCTGATCTTAGTCTATGTTTGTTTGTTTTTTGAGACAGGGTTTCTCTGTGTAGCCCTGACTGTCCTGGATTCACTCTGCAGACCAGGCTGGCCTCAAACTCAAGAGATGTGCCTGCCTCTTCCTCCGAAGTGCTGGGATTAAACGTGTGCACCACCATGACCAGCCTCGGCCTTTACCTTTTTAGCTAAACTTTAGTCTGTCTTTCAACTTGCTATATATAGTGTAGGCTGATTTTGAACTTTTGATCCTCCTGCCTCAACCTCCTTAGTTCTGGGATATAGGCTTGGATTTTTGTGTTGTCATTACTGGGGATTGAACCTTGGGCTCTTTGAATGTAGGCTATACTGCTGAGCTGTCCTGAAAATCTTTGTAGACTGTCCCTCTCTTGGATGTTGACGTTTTTCTCTTCATTGGGCAGGATCCTGGGAGGGGGTTGCCAGTGTAAAGTGCTCTTTCCATCCCATCCTACGCAGGGCCATGCGGTTCGCTCGGTTTGATAGCTGATACTAAACTTTGACTTCTGAGACAGTCCTAATTTGCTTTCAATTACCAGGACCAAATGCCACTTACTGGAGGAAACGGTTTATTTCATCTTACAGGTTACAGTCCATTATAATGGGGAACCATGCCCCAGGTGACATAAGGCTGTTCTATAATCTGTCAGGTGTCTGTGTCTTTTATTGATTGTGATAGTGGTTTAGATAATAAGGAAGAAGGCACCCAGCTGGGCTTCCTCCTTAGCCAATGGCCCAGAAGGAAGAGGAAACCTTTTCCAATCCAGCTCAGAAACTCCTCGAACTGAATGTCCCTCTCTTCTACTTCCTGTGTATACATCCATTTTCCTGACTTTCTCTTAGTCTTTGTTTTCTTACCTATGGTCACTCTCTGTCAAGTGGTTGCTTGCTCTACTTCTTGACCTATTGTTGATTTTATTTAATTCAAGCAGAAAGTTTTTTATATTAAAGATGTGTGCTATGGGCCAAGGGAGGTGACTCACACCTGTAATCCTAGCATTCTGGGAGGCAGATACAGGTGGATCTCTGTGTGTTCAAGGCCAGCCTGGTCTACAAAGTGAGTTCCAGGACAGCCAAGGCAATACAGAGAAATCTTGTCTTGAAAAAAACCAAACCAAAACAAAAAGATGTGTGCTACGGGTGAGCCACACAACTAGAAACAACTGTGGTGAAATATCCTGCAACAAAAACAAGGATGTGAAGAGATGGCTGGCTAACAGGTGAAGAGCGATGTTCTTGTATGGGACCTGTAGCCCAGCCCCCACTTTGTCCCCCCACATACCCCAAAGAAATCTTACAATGAAGATAAACAGAAGGTCTGAGATACACTTCCATGAAGCATTTGCCTACAATGGCTGAGGCCCTGGGTTTCATTTTCAGGACTCCCCTTCCTGGAGTGTTTAGTACTCCTCAAAACTCTCAAAGTCATTTAAAAAGCAAGGCAAGTGTCAGAAGTACCCAAGGGAAGCTGAGGACCCAGCACTGGGGGGCTGAGTGGGTCCCCTAAGGAAGAAACTGGATAAACTGTGGGCTTTGATTAACAATTGCAGTTTATGGGTTTTTTAACAAGTATAATACACAGATATCAAATTTTTTATTTATTTTTGAGATCTTGAAGTCTAATTGTCGCCCTGGCTTTCTGTAGAATTCATTATATAGGACAGGGTGCCCTCAATTCACAGAGATCACCTATCTCTGTCTCCCAGAGTGCTGGTATTGTAGCGGTGTGCTACAGTGCCAGCCCACAAAAGCCAGATTTTATTATTATCATTGTTATTAATAGACAGTATCTACTATGCAGCTTAGGCTGGCCTCAAACTCACCCAGATCCATCTGCTTCAGCTTCCTGAGTGCTGGAATTAAAGGTGCACACCACCTATCACGGCTGAATCAAGTAATAGGGAAACAAGCTGGGGAATTCACATTTTTATTTATTCATTTGTGTGTGTGTACGCCTACATGAATTTATGAACACCACATGCATATAGATACTTGGCTGTCCTGGACTCACTTTTGTAGACCAGGCTGGTCCCAAACTCGCAGAGATCCGCTTGCCGCTGCCTTCCAGAGTGCTGGGATTACAGGGCGTGCACCACCGCGCCCGGCTGCTGCGTAATTTTTTTTAAAAGGTTCTAAAACATTCTGTCATTTAGTGGGTGTGGGAAAACAATCACCAGCACCTGATTCTTATAACCTCAAGGTTCAGAAGCAAAAAGGACTTTGCCCTTAACAAAGATGGCTCTCGGCTAGCGTCGGGAAGACAGCCTACCTGAAACAGGAAGCGGAAGCGCGAGTTGGGCGGTGCGCTAGCACGGTGGGCGCTGGGACGCGCAAACCGCGCGGGTCCGGGCATGAAGCTGGGCCGGGCCGCACTGGCCCTGCTGCTGCTGGCTCCGTGCGTGGTTCGTGCGGTGGAGCCCATTAGCCTGGGCCTGGCCCTGGCCGGCGTCCTCACCGGCTACATCTCCTACCCGCGCCTCTACTGCCTTTTCGCCGAGTGCTGCGGCCAGAAGCGGAGCCTCAGCCGGGAGGGTAGGCGGGCACCAGGGACGAGTAGCAGGGGGATAGCGCCGCGACCAGGCCAGACTTTTCTCCGGGGCCAGAGAGATGAGTCGCCGGGGTCGGGGGTAGGGTGTCAGTCCTGCGCGGAGCTCATCCGGGCGGCCTCACGGTGCCTCTTCCGCTTGGCTTTGGGACGCAGCCTGGCAGCTGCCCGAAACGTCCCAAGGCCAAGCCTTAGGAAGGGCAGGGTTCGCGGCGCCAGGGTCCTTCTGTGCTCCCCAGACCAGGCCCTGACAGCTGGAAACGGGGCTGCATTTTGCCGGTTGCTTCTCTCCTAACCAGAGATCTTTCCTTTCCCAGCGCTGCAGAAGGATCTGGATAACAAGCTCTTTGGACAGCATCTTGCAAAAAAAGTCATCTTAAACGCCGTGGCTGGTTTCCTAAGCAACCCGAAACCCAAGAAGCCCCTTACCCTCTCCCTCCACGGGTGGACAGGCACCGGCAAAAACTTCGCCAGCAAGATCATCGCAGAGAGCATTTACGAGGGTGGACTGAACAGTGACTATGTGCACCTGTTTGTGGCCACGCTGCACTTCCCCCACGCCTCCAACATCACCCTGTACAAGGCGAGAGCACTAACCGGCCATCCGCGCGGATGAGCCGGGTTTGGGGTTGCTCTGCTGTGGGTGGGCCTCAGCATGGCTCTGTAATGTCAGTTCCTCTTTTAAGATGTGGACAGCGCTGCCCGTGGTCGTATCCGCTATTCCGGAGGCAGAGGCTGGAGGAGCGACCGCTGAGGCTAGGGTAGCCTGTGCAGCGTGGACCATGTTTCCAGCGCTTGCCCAGAATGTGCTGAGTTCTGGGTTCCACGTCCCCACCTCCGCCCACCCCACCCGGCCCGCGGCGGCGGGGGCGGGGATGTTTAAGTTACAGACAGAGGTTTTGAGACACGGAGGCAATTAGGGCACCAGAGTTTTATGGGCGACCCCTAGGCTAGATAACACTTGGCTGAGGAAGTGGGGACATAGTAAGATCCAACTTTAGGGACCTGAGGGCGCTCCTGAATTGTGAAGAGGAAACATGGAAGTCTAAATTTGCTTTGACTCGCTGCTGCAACCCACTTTTGGAGTTGAACTCTGATAACAGCCCGCACCTGAATTCAAGTTCTGTCTGTCGCGCCCACCCTCCAGCTGTGCAGTGTTGGGGCGATCAGCTAACCTCTCTGAGAAGGGCACTCTTCGTTTTAGAATGGTGCTTCACCCTCACTGGTGCAAACAAACCCCCCCCCCCATTTCTGTTTAACATCAGGGCCACCATAACTGTGTAGCTTTGGGCAGAATGTTTAATCTCTGTGCCTGAGGTCAGCTGGGTGTTTTCCTACACACCTGTATTCCCAGCAGGCTGAGGCAGGAGGATCGCATGTTTGAGGTTAGTCTGGGCTACATAGTGAGCCTCTGTTTGAAAACACAGACAGGGAGAGAAGGACAAATAGAGGGGGAAGGAAGAAACAGAAAATGGGGCCCAGAAGCATTTCTTGAGTGGCTTTGGGGAGGCGGTGTGAGATGTTGAGAGAGCGTTGCTTAGGGTGGTGTGCCCCGTAGTGAGCGCCTGCACACTGCTCCTCTGGTAGATTGGGGCAGCAGACTGGGCAAACCTTGCCTTGCTGGGTTCTAACGATCTACATCAGTGTTCATTTGGCACGTGTTAGCAGGCTACTTGGGTCTCGGAAGGTTCCTCTAAGGCAGTTTCAACCTTCCTAATGCTGCAGTCCGTTAACTCAGTTCCTCACGTGGTGAACCCTAAACATAAGATTATTTTGTTGCTACTTCAGGACTGTAATTTTGCTACTGTTACAATCCTAATGTAAACATTTCTGATAGGTGGCCCCCTGGGTCATGACCCACAGGTTGAGAGCGACTGCTCTAGGGGGAAAGGTGGTCTGTCCCTGCAGAGTTGCTGCTTCCATTAGGTACAAATGGAACCGTGTAGCCCGTGGTCATAGGAGCCGATGGGAAAACCCCAAGTAGATGTACAGTCAAGCGGCTGCCAGTGTGTTCTAAAGAGGACATAGCTGATTTCTCCTCGCTTAGGAGGAGGCTGGATCTACCTACATGTTATGTAGAATCTGGGCTCAATTTTTCTGAGGAAAATGCCTGAAGAGCTCTCCATGTCTCACCAGATGGCTTATTATGTAAAAAACTGGGCTAGAGTGACTGAGGCCCTGATTTCATTCTTTAGCATCTGTCCCACCAAAATATCCAAATACAAATAAGGTGGAGGGGTTGTTTGTTTGTTTGCTTGTTGGGGGTGGGGTTCCTCTGTGTAGCCTTGGCTGTCCTGGGATTATAGGCTTGTGCCACTGTGCCGCACTGTTTTATTTGAGACAGCAGCTCCTGTGCTCATTGTTGTAGCCCGGGCTGTCCCTGATCTCTGTTTTTATTTATTTATTTTTTAATTTTATGTGTGTGTGAGCATTTGTGTGAGTGGGGCCATTGGTTTATCTCTGGTGTTCCTCAAGATCTGTCCATGTTTTTTGAGACAGGCTCTCTTGTTGAGACCCAGGGCTGCTGACCAGGCAAGCCCCAGAGATTCTGCCCTTGCCCCCTTGGCACCATGTCCCCATGCCTGGTGTCCTCATGGGGGTGCTTGTAATGCAAGCACTTTACCCACTGAGCTTTCTCCTCACCCTTGGCCTAGGCCTCTTGCTCTCTCAGCTGGGCTCCCAGAGCCAGATGACCACGTCCACCTCCAAATGTGTTCTTATGGTTGGTGTGTTCCCCGGGCAAATTTATTTCAGAAAACCTCATCCCACCCTCCCAGAATGCTGAACGCTCAGGTGCAGGCTCTCTGAGAGCTTGTGCACTGCTTTCTCCAAGCTGGGCTGCAGAGGGAGGGAAGGGTGATGGTGGGTTTCTGCCTCTTATCAAGAGACTGACATACACAGGATACAGGTGACACTGAGGACACAGCTGCTGCCTGGCTGACACAGCATCAGTGTGGTCACAACAGAGAGTCACAGACCTGGGGCTTTGGCTCAGGGCAGGGCTGGATGGCACTCCCATCCTGCCCGGCTTAATTACATTGTCCCAGGAGAGCTGCTGAAATGCTCTGTCCCTCAGGGTCCTCACTCGTGGCACAGATACGGTGCTGCCCGCACACGAAGTGATTGTGAGGAGAAAGGTGTGTGTGTAATGCTCAGCACAGTGCCCCAGAAGTACAGCCGTTGTCCTTAGGGTAAAGTTCTGAGGGCCTGGCCTTCCTCAGCACTAGTAAGGCTCTGGGCAGAACTGCATGAAAAAAGAAACCCAAGGCCGATAGAATTGCCCACTGAGAGCTCTGAATGGACCCTCCTGTCCTGCAGGACCAGTTACAGATGTGGATTCGAGGCAACGTGAGCGCCTGTGCCCGGTCCATCTTCATCTTTGACGAGATGGACAAGATGCATGCTGGCCTCATTGATGCCATCAAGCCTTTCCTAGACTATTACGATGTGGTAGACGAGGTCTCCTATCAGAAGGCCATCTTCATCTTCCTCAGGTAAGGCTGTGGCTGGGGCACGGTGGGAGAGCCTGGACCTGGGGGCTCTGGGGACATGCAGCCTCTCATTGCAGTTGTTTCCTTAGCAATGCGGGGGCAGAGAGGATCACAGACGTGGCTTTGGATTTCTGGAAGAGTGGGAAGCAAAGGGAGGAGATCAAGCTCAGGGACATGGAGCACGCCCTGGCCGTGTCTGTCTTCAATAACAAGAACAGTAAGTATGGCCTTCAGGCCTGTGACCCCTGACCCTGCACCCTCAGTACTCCCGGACCCAGCATGATCTGAATGACATTGAGAACTAGCCACAGGAGGGTTCATAAACATGGAAGTTTGGGCCGCGCCATTGACCGTTGGGCTGAGACCTTGCTCCACAAGTTCCTTCCTTGTGGCAGGAAAGCAGGTCACTGAACCAGGAGGCCACTGTGGTGGCTGCAGGGCCCGTGATGGCTGGTAAGGCCTCTCCCTTTGCTGAACCCTAGAACTCTGCCCATTGGCCTTCCCACTGTACCGGACACTCAGACCCCTGACCTGCTTGTTTGATTCTGTCTGCCCTGTTACCTAGTGGGTACTTAGATGCCTGTTGCCTGTGCAAAAGACACAGGCTCAGTGGCGGAGCATGCACAGTGCCGGGCAGCCTGTGCGGAGCCTTTATCCAGGCCTCAGAGCTCTTAACTTTTGGCTCCGCTGCCCCTCCAGCAACTGTCATGCAGACCTTTGACCTTGACCCCCAGGAGGCAGACACACTTGAGGGTGGTTCATTGGTGATCTCACCAGATCTTTGTTGCTCTGGGTTTTGTTTGTTTATTTATTCTTTGTTTTTGTTTTTTGAGACAGGGTTTCTCTATGTAGCTTGGCCTGAAACTCTCTGTAGAGGATGCTGGCCTCAAACTCAAGAGATCCTCCTGCCTCTGCTGGGATTATAGGCATGTGATACCATACCTGGCTGTGTTCTGGGGTTGTTGAGGCCACAGGCCTCTTTGGAAACCTAACTTGAAGTTAGGTGGCTAACATAGTTGTGCTCTGTTACTCCTGTGCAAACGGAATACTACTGAAAAAAGACAGGTTTTGCTAAATGTTGAAAAGTCTCTCCTGGTGCTAAAAAGGATGGCTGCACACAATAGAAGATCCAGACTGATGTGGCAGCAACACAGCAGAACATTGTATATGTGCATGCATGAGTGTGTGTGTGTGTGTGTGTGTGTGTGTGTGTGTGTGTGTGTTTTGAAGGTAAAGAGGACCTCCCTGCAGGGCTGTAGATGGGATAAGAGACATGTCTGAGTGGTAGACCCTTGACAGCAGTGCTGGGTGGACAATGAGAAGAGGCTCTCAGGAAGAGGGCTCGTGTGTAGGCCCCCTGTCTAGGAGGAAGAGCTAGGAGGAGACATTTGACTGAGTTGGAGGTATGTGGGTGCTTTTGCATTAATGTTGCTCAGGCTCAAACCCAGGGCCTTGCCTACCACTAAGCCCCTCCTCCATTCTAGCTAGTGTTTTGAAGGCCATGTGACCGTCTGAAGTCACTGGCTCTGCTGAGCACTTTGTGGATCAGCTGGGTGGGTCCTTGTCATTCTGGCTGTGCTCGGAGTCGCCTCCCCAGCCCTGCAGATATCCCCAGCTGCCATCCCCAGGGCTCCGTGTACACCTGCCACAGGAGGCCTCCAAGGCAGAAGTTATACTGGCCACTGCTCCATAGTCAGTTTTGTTCTTCACTGTGGCCACAGGTCCACCCTGAGTGCTGACCGAGTTCGGGGCACCACAGTGTGTCGGGGGGGGGGCATAGACTCTGGGCTCTTGGCAGAACTTGCACTGGGAACCAGAGTGCAAAGATTAATGAGTTAGCAGGGCACCAAGACATGAGCGACGGCCTTACCAGTGTTGGGGAGGGGGGTGGCTACCACCCAGGCAAGCCTTGGTATTGCTTCCAGGATGCTCTGTATGGTTTGGGCACGGACAGCAGCAGCACAGTTCTTGATTGTTGGTCCAGCTGCTAAAGCTCTGGGGACAGACTGTAGTTTCCTAAAGGAGACTGACTGGTGAGGCCATCCCTGGAGATATCATTCCTTTAGCTCCTTTTTGCACCTTCCAACCTGTCCCCCAGCTTTTGCCACACTGCCGAGGTCCCAGCATACACTGTGGTGCATGTGGCCCTCCAGTCTGTTTCCCATCTCTAGGGCACACTGGAGAGGACTTTCCAAGCATAAAGTGTCCCTTTTTAAGCATTTTTGGGTTTTCTTTTTTGTGTATGTTTGTGCATGTTTGTGCATGTGGGTGTTCAGAGAGGGTGTTGCATCTCTGGATCCAGAGTTATATGTAGATACCGAGTACTGGGACCCAACTCAGGTCCTCTGCAAGGAGCGACAAGCATTCCTGTTTTGTTTTTGCATGAGAGGGTTTCTCTGTGTAGCCCTGGCTGTCCTGGAACTCCCTCTGTAGACCAGGCTGGCTTTGAACTCAGCGATCCACCTGCCTCTGTCTCAGGAGTGCTTGAATTAAAGACATGCGCATGACCACCTGAAGTTCTTAATTACTGAGCCCCAAAGATGTCCCTTTTTTGTCACCTTGCCATCACAGCATCACCAGGCAGTGTTTATAGGCAGTTCTCGGCTCCTGTCTTTCTCCCTCAGTGTCTGGAGATGGGTGGCGTGGGGCGTGGTCTCCCAGCTCCCTCTCAGGGCTGGCCCCAGTGGACAGTAGTCACACTGGATGGACAGATCAGATGGCACCATTTTTGTCTTTTCCTAGGCGGCTTCTGGCACAGCAGCCTTATCGACCGGAACCTCATTGATTATTTCGTCCCCTTCCTGCCCCTGGAGTATAAGCACCTGAAAATGTGCATCAGAGTTGAGATGCAGTCCCGTGGCTATGAAGTAGACGAGGACATTGTAAGCAAGGTGGCTGAAGAGATGACGTTCTTCCCCAAGGAGGAGAGAGTCTTCTCCGACAAGGGCTGCAAGACTGTGTTCACCAAGCTGGACTACTACCTGGATGACTGAGCTCTGCTGCCAGACACTCTGTAGGTCCGCTCCTCTCCCAGGAAGAGGCTCAGGATGCTTCCTGCTGAGTTTCGGGAAGGCCCTCAAGGGCTGTTTCTGCTCCTCAGAGCCTGCAAGAGGCCACGCTGTAGGGACCACAGACACAGATGCAACATGTACCCGAAGCTCCTGGCGCCTCGGGAGGATGAAGCCAGCCAGCTCCCAGCCTGCCCATTCTGGGCTCATGATTTTTTAAAAATTATGTTTTAATTTCAGGTGTTTCTGTTTTGAGGCAGGACAAGTAAGTTTTACTGCAAATGTGATAACTTTATTTAAAATGGTTTTTAATATTACAAGAAGCCTTTCAGCTGTTGGCTTTGTGTGTCCTTTCAAACTGTCAGGCTGACACCACTGGTGTTTCTGCTGCAGAAGCCCAAACAGGGACATCTGCTCCGTGGACTGGCATCTCAGGAACAAGGGGCTGTTCCTTGTTCGACAGGCCTGCCAGGGGCACTGCAGTGGTTAGGTGAGCCTGGCTCACAAATGCGCCTGCGTGCCCTTTCCTGGACTCCTTAGTAATAAGACAAATGAGCGCAGTGACAGGTCCACTTAAGATGCCAGGCAGGGCAGAGCTCTGCATAGGCTTGTTTCATGCAACACACGAATGCCTGCCAAGGGGCGGGGCTTCTGTCGGTGTGGTTGCCATTCAGGGCTCTCACAGGGCCTGAAGTCAAAACTAGTTCAACTGCTGGCAGGCCCACTCTCTGCCTCTGCTATTAGCCTGTTCAGGCTCCTTTTTAGGTGGCCAAGGCTCCCAATGATGCTTCCAAGTCCCCAGTAGTCATATCAGGTCTGAGGGCTCACCTGAGGGTGGAGCCCAAGCACTGGGCCCTGAGGAGCATAGCCCCCCCCCCCCCCCAGGTCCTGTCCTTATGACAGCATGGGACAGGGTGGGCACTGTTGTCAGGCTCCTAGACACTCAACTAAGAAACGGGAGCAGCAGGATGACAGGAAGGTTTACCCTTCTAGACTGTCCCATCCTGTGACAGCCATATTAACAGTGCTGCAAGAAGCTAGGTTAGCGTGGTTATGCTGAGATCTGGCTAACAGACAGAACTAGAATTGGGTTCCTTACCAGTTCTGGGCAGGAAGAGCCAGCAGCTGGGTCTCAAGACCTCTCTGAGCTAGAATGAAGACAGCTATGGCCAGGTGTAAAAGTAACTTATTCTCCTGAGCTAATTGTTGTCTTGGAGGCTTATTGCCTCTGCTAATCTAGTCCTAGTCCTGGAAGCTTCAAGCCTTCATACAATCTAACCTAGCCTAGAATGGTTCAGCCTTTGAGATTTGATTTGAGCTGCTTAATAAGCTCAACCTTTCTTGTTCTTTCTGAACTCAAAGCTGGCTAGTTCAATTCAGCTGTTCTGGCTAAAACTCCTTCCAGCTGATTCAATTTGGCTTCTCTCTCAGCATCTGAAGTGGTCTGGTTGGCCTCAGACTAACTCCAGCAGTGTGCGTTAATCTCCTGGCTTCTTTTTTTCTGACTCATTCTGTCTTAGTTCTGGCTCTGCAACCTGTCTCTCCCGCTCTTACTGAGTAAAACTGCCTCCTCTCTCATTGTCCCGTAAGTACCTTCCCTTTCTTCTTTTCTCATGAGAGCTGGATGTATCCTAGTCTGTCACTGATCGTCTTATCGTCACTGTTTCTGCCACTCAACTAGACATCACTTTGAAACATGGGTACTTCCTTCTACAAACTGTCTTTACTTTCATTGTTTGGGATTAAAGGCGTGTACCACCACGCCTGGACTTGGTGTAGGCCAAGCTGCCCTTGAACTCAGATCTGCTTGCCTATGTCCCCTGGATTAAAGGCATGCTGGTATTCCAGCTGGACCTCACAAACGTAGATCTTTGGATGTGCTCTCTTGCTAGCTGGATCACACAGACCTAGGTCTTCGGATGTAATTTCTTGCCATAACAGCCATGTTCTGAATTAAAATTCAGGTAGGTAGGTCATTATCATTAGGATGTTATGTGGTAGAGAAGCCTGTCTCTGGTAGTTCCCTGGAGCTCACTGCATAGGGAGCAGCTCTAGCCAGCTCTGAACTCCAGAGCCTGTCTCAGGAAGGTAGAGCACTAAGGAAGGTGCCCAACTTGGCCTCTACATGTGTGTGCTTGTAACTGCCCATCCCTTGTGTGCAAACATGAAAAGAAGGCCCTTGCCTACCTAATGAAGCTATCTAACACCTCATACAACTTCATCCTGTTTGTGGGTAACAGCCTTTAAAGCAGTGATTTTTTTTTTTCTTTCCAGTTTATTTACTCTATATCCCAAGGGTGCTCCCTCCTCTCCTTCCCTTCCCCCCCTTTCCTCCCAGAAAGGGAGAGGTCCCCCACTATGTCATCCCTCCCCAGCGTATCAAGTCACATCAGAACTGAGCATCTCCAAGGGTAGGCAAGGCAGCCCTGCCAGGAGGAAGTGATCCAAAAACAGACAATAGAGTCCATGTTAGAAACAGCCCCACACTCCACTCACCCCATATGAAGACCTCACTGCGCATCAGCCACATGTGTGCGGGGACCTAGGTCCAGACCACGTCTGTCTCTAAGCCCCCATGGGACGGAGTGTGCAGTGATTTTTAGGTGATGCGGTCAGCCTGTGTCCAGTGGGGGAAGGCAAGCACCACATGCATGGACAGTCTTCACTGAGCTCAGAGTGTGCAAACACAGAGGGGAAACTAGGAAACTCAAGAAACTCACAGTGCACCACACTGGCTTTATTCTGTATCCAGCTCTGTCTGTGCCTTCTCACAGGCAGGTTGGGGAGGCTGGGGCAGGCCAGACCAGGCCTTTCAGAGTGACAGGTCAGTAACAGCAGTCCAAAGGTGGCCAACGTGTCCACATATTACATCACTGTAAACAGAAAGACTTGTTTCTTCTTGACCAGGCGCCCAATAGGTTATGAACGGTAACTCGGCTCCAATCCAAGAATAATGAAACTCACTTGGCCTCACTTGGCAGGTTTTTGTTTGCTCTCTGCTTTGAGACAGGGTCTCTGTAACTTGGCTGACTTTAAACTCAGCTTCCTAAGTGCGAGGGTTACACGCATGTACAGCACTGGGCCTAGATTCACTGTGTGGCCTAGGCTGGCCTCAAACTTGAGAGTCCTACCATGGCCTCCCAAGTTCTGGAGCCAAAGGTGTGACTACCTGGCTTGCCTTGGCATTTAAAGGACACTAAATGTGAGTATAAGTCATTCCCAGGTTATAAAATCAGTCATTCTACTACACCCATAAAAATACGGCAGTCTCTGTCTGCAGCTGCACCGCAGCTGGGACGGCAGCTCGAAAGGCTGGAATCCAGGCTCACCTCCCTACAGTCAGAGCAGCCCGGCCAGCACTGCCACTCAAAAGTCAGCCCGAGATTACACCTGGGACCCGCCACAAACTGAGGACTTTGTGGGGGGTCTAAAATTGTACCCATGTAGTTCCACTCTCTACACAGTTAGCAATAAAGCCTTTTTTTCTTCTTGTGAGAGTTTCACGTAGCTCAGGCTGTCCTCAAACTCAGAAGATAGCTAAGGAACCCTGAATCCTGATCTTTCTGCTGGGGTCATGGGCATTGTGCCCCAAACCCAGCAACAATAAACACCTGAGAATAAGCATTATTCTATTTATGTCCTTCCTAGGTTTTTGTTTTTCAAGACAGGGTTTCTCTGTATACCCTTGGCTGTCCTGAACTCCCTTTGTAGACAAGGCCGGCCTAGCACTCACAGAGATCCACCTGTCTCTGCCTCCGGAGTGCTGGGATCAAAGGCACGCGCCACCACATCCTAGGTTTTATAAACTGCATGGCACCTTACGCTTATTATCTAAGGGTTAGAAGTAAAAAACCTGTTTTAAACATATGCTTGCCCTTAAAAAAAAAATAGGTATCTCTGGTGTATGGCAAACCTGCATCTTCCCATGGGGTTTGGCCTGGTCAGCCCCGGCCTAGAATTTAACTCTTCCTATGCATGCTATTGGTTCTGCACATCTGAGCTTGCCCTTCAGTGCAAGTGTAACAGGCAAAAAGGAGCCAAATACCTCCTTCAAAGATGACAGCCCATTCTGATGGGTGAATCTAACAGTTGAGAATACAAGGTACAAGGCAGGCTGCAGCCCACACACAACGGGAGACGGGATTCTACAGCCAGAGCTGTGAGCAGCAGCGAGGGTAAGGTATGGGTTTGAAGGCTGCCCCTGCTCCCGCCGACAGCTCAGCCAAAGTCAAGTCCACGTGCTCCCTCCACCAGTGAGCATCTGTCAACGCCATCATCTTCTGAGAACTGTCAGTGAGTACCAGCTCAGGGTAGAAAAAGGGGAAAGAAAGCAGTGGGGTGTTGTAGCCCCGTTAGTGGCAAGTGAGGCATGGGTGGTCCTGGCCACAACAGGACCTTTGACCTTTGGCCTCCTGTGTTTAGATGTTTCTAGGCACTTGATTCACAGTAACAGTGTGAGGTTTCTAGAAGTTCATCTCTAGATGCTGCTTTGACAGCATCCCTGAGTCCACAGGTGCAAATGCGCAAAGCCCGAAGGGCATCTTCAAAGTGCTTCTACAAGGCAAGACCCTGGTGGGGGCGGGAGGCCCCAAGGATCTTCTACCCCGCTGGGCGAAGAGCTCAGTGGAAATCTAGCCGTGACTGCACAGTCTTGCAGCCCTTGTCTGAGTAGATCTTCTCGTCCTTGGGGAAAAATGTCATTTCGTCTGCCACACTGGTGACAATGTCTTCATCAACAGCAGCCCCTCGAGCCCTCATCTCTGCCCGAACACACATTTTCACGTGTCTGTACTCCAAGGGCAGGAAGGGGATAAAGTAGTCGATGAGGTTTCTGTCTATCAGCCCACTGTGCCACAGGCCACCTGCAGAACAAAGTGAGTGTCCTGTCAGTGCCACCTGGCCACACCCCATCTGATCCTGGCCCACAGTCCATCCTTCATGTCTTTGCCTTTCCAGAAACTGTCAAATGACATATGCCCTCATAATATCCCAAGAAAACTCCCCATAGCAGCAAAGCCACATGCAAGGGGCACGCCGGCTTCGTGTAAGACACACTGCTGAGAGCCGGCTCAATGCCAGCAAGGCGCTGGGTGTCCATCCATCCGTCCCCCGCCCTGTCCCCACTCTCCCCTGCTCCACAGTGGACTTACTGTGCTTGTTGTTGAAGACACCCACAGACAGCACGGGCTCCAGGTCCTTCAGCTGGATCTCCTCCCTCTTTCTTCCTGCCCGCCAGAAGTCCAGGGCCGTCTTAGTTATCAGGTCCCCTCCTGCATTGCTGGGTTGGCCGGGGATGCAGAGACCAATATCATAGGTGCGTTATCCCAGGCTCCTTG